CATGCTGGTGGCTTGGGGTTGGAACAGGCTTTGGCTCAATGCCCTTCCCCTCCGCAGCCGTAACAGGAGCCCAGAGGATGTCCTGCTGACAGGCGTTGAGAACCCCGTGTGAGGCCATCTCTTGGCCCCCACATGGCCTGAGCCAGCATTTGGTATTTTTGGCATTTAGCCTTTTCATCCTGGGAGTGGAACACCTTGAAGGCGGTGGCCAGCACCTCAGTCTGAGGAGTGAGGGGGCCTCTATCAAGTTTTTTAAGTTTAGCCCTAATATCAGGGTAACTTTGGGAGAAAAAATAAGTCATAAGGAGCTGCTTACCATCTGTGGATTCTGGGTCAATGTTGGTGTGTTGCTGAAGAGCCCTGGTTAATCTATCTAGGAAGGTAGAGGGGTTTTCTGTTTTATCCTGGATGATTTCCTGGAGTTTTTTCAAAATTAATGGCCTTTTGTGAGGCCCGTTTTAATCCTGCCAAGAGACAGGTGGCAAATTGGTTCCGGAGGGTGAGACCAGCCTGGGTGTTGTAGTCCCAATTGGGATCATGGTCAGGCACCGCAAGGGCACCTGTAGGGTGAGCGGGACTGGTTTGATGGACCTCATCCGCGTATGTGTGAGCCTGTTCCCAAACCCTTTTACATTCCTCAGGCAAGAGGGTGTTAGAGAGAATGAGATAGATATCATGGTAGGTTAGGCTGTAAGACTGGAGTAAATATTATTGCCAACAGAACCATCATGTATCTCTGGCATAAATCCCACTTGATCATGGTGAATAATCTTTTTAATGTGCTTTTGCTTTTCAGTTGAACATTTTGCATGTGTGTTAATCAAAGATATTGACTGGTAGTTTTCTTTTTAACTTGTATCCTTATCTCGTTTTGGTATCAGCCTAATGCTGGCTTAATTTAATGTGTTTGGAAGAATTCCTTCCTCTTTTGTTGTTTGCAATAAGTTGGTTTATATTAGTTCTTTTTTAAGTGGTTCTTAGACTTCAACTGGGAATCTACCTGGTCCTGCTATTTTCTATAATGGGAGACTTTTTATTACTGATTCAATCTCATTACTTGTTACTGATCTTCTCAAGTTTTCTATTTCTTCATGATTTAATATTTATAAGGTGTATGTGTCTAGAAAGTTAAGCTTCTAGATTATCAAATGTGCTGGCATATAATTGTTCCTAATAATCTCTAATGATCCTTTGTATTTTTCTGGTAATAATCTCTAATGATTTTTATTGTTTTTCTGGTAATGTTTCCATAATGTTCTAATGTCTGTCTAATTTTGTGATTTTTAAAGAACTTTTAGCTTCATGTTAATAGGTGAATTTGGTCTGTGATTTTCTTTTCTTATACTGCTCTTTTCTTACATCACTTTGATCACAAAGTGAGATTACTCACAGATAAATTAGACAGCTTTTATTCTTTTTCTAGTGCCTAGAATTGTTTTATAATAGATAATCCTGTCTGTTCTTTGAAGATTTAATTAGAAATCACATAGAAAGCAATCTAGGCTTGGAGTCCTGATTTTAAGGATGGGCAAAGTTCTTTTGTTTAGTGATTTAATGACTTTAATGGTTACTGGAATACTGAGATAGTGTATTTTTCATTGATTCAATTTTATAACTCATATATTTCTGCCAAATAGCATAGTTATGACAAATCTGTTAATTTTCAAAATTATCTGCATAAGGAAGCATAAAGAATCTTTTAGGGGGGATGGGAATATTTTGTATCTTATTTGTAGATGTGGATTACTAGGTGTATACATCTATCAAACTTACCATATTGTGTTTTGTAAATAGATAAAGCTAATAGTAAAGATGTTATAAAGTTGATTAACATCTACTCCAGAAAATTATGCATGGTATATTTTGTGGTTTTCAAAACATTTTAAGCCAGGCACTGATGGCTCACTCCTATAATCCTAATGATATGGGAGGCTGAGATGGACAGGATTGTGATTCCAGGCCAGCCAAGCAAAAAAGTTTGTGAGACTTCATCTCAACAGAAAAACCTGAGCATGGTGTCCCAAGCCTGTCATCCTCACTACTGCTGGAAGCATAAGTAGGAGAACTGCTGTCCAGGCCTGCTCAGGCAAAAAGCAAGACCCTATCTCAAAATAACTATAATAAAAAAGGGCTAGAGGTGTATCTCGATCAGTAGAGTGTCTGCCAAGCAAGTGTGAAGTTCTGATTTCAAACCCCAATACCATCCAAAAAAAAAAATTCTCTTCTGTATCTTTAGAAGCTTTTTTTTCTTTTTGGAAATCTTTTTTTCTTTATGAATCTTGTTAAAATGTCTTTAAAATAACTAGCTCCCTAAAAATTACCATTGCTTTCTTGTTCTTTCTGCCACAAGTATCTCTGCCACCTCTGGCATTTTGTGGGGGTCAATGAGAATGCATGAGCAGATAGTTGACTGAAGAGGTTACAACACTTGGGACAGAGGGCATAAATAAAAGGGTGATTTTCTTATTTCAAGGTATCTTGTGCATCCAGTAGGTCAGGCCTAATAGCTATTGGAGGCAGTTTCTCTGTGTAAATTGGCATGGCTGAAATATCATGTAGTACGTTTGAGATCTTCCCTGGGCATGTTTAAGAAGGGCTTAGCTGGCAATGTGGACATTCATAATCCTTTAGGAAATGGATTCTGTTTTACATTCAGAGCCATAATTGGTTCATGATACATGACTTTCCTTTACCTGACAGACTGATACAACTGGTCAACAGAATCTGAAATCATCAGTTGACTGCTAAATATTTAATATATTTTACAGTCTTGGAATTCATGTGCTTGTTTTACCAACTAAACATATTTGATTACTTAATATAATTTATAATTTTCCTTTTGTTAAATGAGACAAGAAAACAAAACTACTCTGGATTTGAGAGAGCTAATTATACTTAATCGCTAAATATAAAAACTTAATTGCTTTTTAATTTTTTTCTAGTCATCGAATGTGTTTTATAAGAAAGTATTATATGAGATGGACTATGTAATAATGAGATATAAGAATATATAATATATAATAAGATATAATAATTATATCTTAATACCAAATATGATCTAAGGAAATCATGTTCCTATTGAAAGTATATTTGGAGATGCCATCGTTACTTACCTTAAGGATTATTCAAAATAATCAGGTGATATGCAGCAGATGTACCAAAGCCATTGATGGATATCATTTTCTATGTATGTAAGATAACTGTGTTTTTGAAAACCTGAAAGGTAAATGTATGCTCTGGGTAGGACTTGGTAACTTAACAAGTCTTACTAAGCAGTCTAATGAGAAGTCAATTGTGTTTGTACTGAACAGTGCTGGGCATCAGCAACAAAGTTGTTTAAAATTTGCATTAGAGTTCCTGGAACTGAAAAAAAGAAAAGGAGCTGGGCACCAGTGGCTCACACCTGTAATCCTAGCTATTTGGAAGGCAAAGATCAGGAGCATCATGGTTTGAAGCCAGCCCAGGGTTTTTTTGTTTTTAAGATATATTTGGAGTGTGTTGTTTTGCTCTAATCTTGGAGAACAGTTAGAAAGTCAAGACTAAAAGCCATTTCATAGTTTTCTAGGCATGCCATAACAATGTGGCACAAATTGAGTGGCTTCAAAAACAAATTCTTATTTTCTTACAATAGAGGCTAGAAGTCCCAGATAGAGGTGTCAGCAATATGAGTGCCTTCTGAGGCCTTCCTCCTTGCCCTAGAGTTGCCTGGCATCTCCCTTCGTCTTAGTTAGAGTTGTCCAGAGAAACAGAACCAGCAGGATATGTGTGTGTACAAGGAGAGAAAAAGAGAGAGAGAGATTTTAAGGAATTGCCTGACAAGATTGTGGAGATCAAACATCTGCAGAGTAGAATCCAAGAAAAGAGTTGTAGCTTTTTCCAAGGCAGTCTGCTGGCAAAATTCTTACCTGCTTGGCAGAGATCAGTCTTTGTTCTAAGGCTTTCAGCTTATTGGATGAGCCCCACCCACATGGTGAAGGCAATCTTCTTTATTCTAAGTCCACTGATTTAAATGTTACTGTCTTCCCAAATCATCTTCGCAGAAACATCCAGAATTATGTTTGACCAAATATGTGGACACTAAGGCCTGGGAAAGTTGACACATGAAATTAACCAACACATGGTCTCTCTGTACCTGCCTGTATCCAAATTAAAAAAAAAAAATTTCCTTCTCTTATATGGAGACTAGACATACTTGACTAGAGACCTCATTTTAACTTAACACCTTAACATTTTAATGACCTCATTTTAACTTAACACCTGTTTCTATACACAGTCACGTTGCGGAGTGCCAGCGGTTAGGACTTCAACCTATGAACTTGAGGGGACGCCATTCATTCCACAATGACCATTAATTCTAAAAGTAAGCAGAAACAGAAAGGGAATTTAAAGGGAAAAATAGTCTTCCCATTACTAAAAGCCTATATTTTCTCTGATTCTGAGGTAACACGTTGGTCATTCCTGAGATAAACCAATTAACTGGAGTGGAATGGAATTATCTATCAAAAGATAGATACATTTTCATAATTCTATAAGCTAGAAGTCAATATCATTCTTCTTTACCCAAGGACATCTAAATGATTAGAGATTAGATTTAAAAAAGAAAAAAATAATGATTCTAGTTATTTCTAGATTTTTACCTATTTTCATTATGTTCTTTTTACTGCAATTTACAGAGCATTGTGTAAGATGTTTTTATCTTGAGTTATGAACTAATTTGAAATCACTACTAAAAACAGTTTCTGCTTTTTCTGCCATTTTAAAAAATAAACAATGGAAAATTACCAACAAAAATAAAGGGGAAATTAACACAAGGATATAAAATGAGGGCAAATTAGAAATCACATCCTGATGTTTCTTTCAGATTATAAATGAAATCTCCTAAGACTTGTCTTTAATATCAGTATCTTGGTGTCTTAAATCGCTCAAACCCATTTAACAAAAAGGTCTGATGTTTCCTTATCTCTGATACTAAAGAAATTCTCCTGGTTCCCTTTTTGCAGATAACAAAGAGATGTTCCTTTCCAAGGCAATCCACAAGTCCTTCATCGAGGTTAATGAAGAGGGAGCTGAAGCGGCCGCCGCCTCGGGTACATGCTAAACTGTGTTCTAAAACTTCCAGATTTATATTTTTAAGACAATCTTGTTGGGGGAGGGGGAGATCATTTTCAGAACCAATCTAAAACACTGTGTTCAAAGTTAGGAAAGCAAATGCTGAACCAGCCAGAATGTTCTAAATAACGTGCGAAGCGCGCGTCCTCACACCGCTGCCCCTTAAGCTCCCATCCTCCTTTCCTCCCTAATGAGAGACAGGCCGCATGTGGCAACTCTGAGAATCGATTTTCCTGCTGTGTTGCTGCCTGCTTAAATATTTTAAATATTTGCCTACTGTGCATTTAAGCATTTTTCTTACTCCCTAATTACTCTTGAAAGTTGGTTCTTAATTTTGTCAGCGAAATGCTTTTTTTGTTTTTAAAAACACACATAAATAAAGAGTATATGGGGAGGTGGTTGGTACCAGTGGGAGGGGAAAGGAGGCGGGGAAGGGTGTGGGAGGGTGAATATGGTGCAAATACTGCGTACTCAGGTATGTAAATGGAAAAATGAGACCTGTTGAAACATCCAGAAATGGGGAGAGGGGGGATAAAGGAGGATTGAAGGAGGGTTGAATTCAAGTATGGTCTATTTGACATATTGTAAGAACTTTTATAAATGCCACAGTGTACCTCCAGCATAACAATAAAAAAATTAAAAAGAGTATATGATAAATATAATAAGTACTTTTAAATACTTGTAACTAAATAATAGCAATTGAACAATAATTTTCAAAAACTTCTGTAAATCTCACATCCAAAGGACAATGGTAAATGTCCTTGATCATTTCGGTTGGCTGAAAATGCTTTTCCCTCTGCACTTTCTCCTTTCATTTGTTTGGATTTGCCTCAATCTCATGTTCAATGGCTACCATCAAATTTTATCAGAATTTTTTTCTCCCTTTAGTATAATGTTAGCTTATTTGCACACTTTTTTTTTCTAATTTTGCAAGTTATAACAGTGTTTTCAGGAGGAAAAAAAAAAACCACAGTAGTTTCCAGCATCAAAAAGAGGTTCAAATCTTGAATTTTGTCTTTATTTCTGACAACTAGCTACAATGCTGCAAGTATGAAGGACTGCAAAGGAATTCAGTACCCCAGCTGTAGGAAAAACCATTATATCTCTCACTACCATATTTTTCCCTTTAATCACTACCATCCTTTCCACTTGCTCTGTAAAAATACCCATTGCAGTTGGAACTGGTGGAGCACACCTGTAATCCCAGCTACTCAGGAGGCAGAGATCAGGAGGATAGTGGTTCCAGGCCAGCCTGGGAAAAAAAAACTTAGCCAGACCCAACCTCATCAACAAGCTGTGGATGGAGGGGGTATGCATATTCCAAGCAATGTGGGAGCCCTAGATAGGAGGATCATGGTCTGAGGCTGGCCTTGGGCAAAAATATGAGACCCTATCTGAAAAGATACTAAGACAAAAAAAAAACAGCTAGTGGTGTGGCTCAAATGGTAGAGCACCTAAGTAGCAAAAGCAAAGCTCTGTGCTCACACACCAGTACCAGTACTATAAAAAAATAAATAAATAAAATAAAATAAAAAATGGCAGACAAAAGACATAGTGACTCAAATATATAAAGAAATTGTCTTTTTTTCTGGCAAGAATATTTTCTTCTCCTCCTTGTCTTAATTAAAAGGATGGTTTGGTAAAAGCACAAAGATTAAACTGAGACTAAAACTTTTATAAGAACAGAATAAATTGTCTATTTTTTTTCATTATTTTTATTTTTTTATTGTTGTGCTGGGTTAGGGTACACTGTGGCATTTATAAAAGTTCTTACAATGTAATCAGATATATCTTATTTTTGGTGGGTTGGAGGGAGGAACTTGTTTGTATGTGTGTTTTTGCTTTATTTTATATTTTTCCCTTTCTTTTATTGTTTTTACATTTATTTACATGTGTATACATTGTTTGGGTCACCCCATCATACCCCCCCACCTCCCGCACCTCCCCACTTCTGGGCAGAATGTTTTGTATTTTTAAACAACCAGGTAGAAATGTTAATACCTTTACAATTTTTCTCTCTTTAAGTCTTAAAAATCTTGTTTTCTGTAAATTGCTGCCTTTTCATTAAACAGATAGGCATAGATGTCTTTGAGAAATTATACTGATTGGCTCCACAGATGAGTAATTACTTTCTGTCTGTGCTGTAGGAATGATTGCAATTAGTAGGATGGCTGTGCTGTATCCTCAAGTCATTGTGGACCACCCATTTTTCTTTCTTATCAGGAACAGGAAAACTGGTGAGTCTCTTATGAGAACTTTATTTAATAACCCACAAAGAAGTTTTCCTCTTTAGCCTGGCCCAAAAGACCAAAAATCGTATGTTCTCCCTCATATGTGGACATTAGATCAACGGCAAACACAACAATGGGATTGGACTTTGAGCACATGATAAAAGTGAGAGCACACAAGGGAGATGTGAGGATAGGTAAGACACCTAAAAAATTAGCCAGCATTTGTTGCCCTTAATGCAGAGAAACTAAAGCAGATACCTTAAAAGCAACTGAGGCCAATAGGAAAAGGGGACCAGGAACTAGAGAAAAGGTTAGATCAAGAAGAATTAACCTAGAAGGAAACACACACGCACAGGAAATTAATGTGAGTCAACTCCCTATATAGCTATCTTTATCTCAACCAGCAAAAACCCTTGTTTCTTCCTATTATTGCTTATGCTCTCTCTTCACCAAAATTAGAGATAAGGGCAAAATAGTTTCTGCCAGGTATTGAGGGGGTGGGGGGGAGGGGAGGGGGCAGGGTGGGTGGTAAGGGAGGGGGTGGGGGCAGGGGGGAGAGATGACCCAAGCCTTGTATGCATATATGAATAATAAAAGAAAAAAAAAAAAAGAAGCTTTCCTCTGTAAATTAGGGACTTTTACCCCCTGCTCCCCCAATATTAATTAGATAGTTTCTTATGTTCAAATGATTTTTTTAATAAATGAAAACAATTTTTATTTTAATTCTTAGAACATTGCTACTTGTAAGCAAGAAGGAAAATAAACATCCTATTCTTTTGCTCTCTTCCCTTTTTCACTTCCAATCTAATGCAGGTACCATCTTTTTCGTGGGACGAGTCATGAATCCTGAAACAATGAACACAAGTGGACATGACTTCGAGGAACTTTAAATATTTCATTTGAGTAACAAGGAAAATAGTAACAAAGCACATTATGTTTGCAACTGGCATATATTTAGGATTTGTGTTTTACAGTGTATCTTAAGATAATATTTAAAATAGGTCCAGATAGAAACAATATATGTGAATTGTAAGTCAACCTGTCAAGGAATGTTATCAGTATTAAGGTAATGGTCCTGTTCTGCTGTTGTGTGTGTTGTGCTGTTGTTTAAAATAAAAGTATGTACTGAACATGCAAACAGCTACTTTTCATTTTAGAAGTGGTAGTAGTATACAGGTAGCTCAAGGTATTTGGAAACAGTGATGTTTCTTTAAAAACTCTAGTGTAAAGATATGATCAGGTGAAATTTGGAAACAGTGATGTTTCTGGACATCTTAAATCTTTCATAATCATACAGAATCCAGAGCACCAAAGGAAATTAGTGCTGTACATTTACATATAACAAGCAATAATGGGAAGCAAAGGCAGGTACTCCACAGAAATTCTCATTGTCGTTGACTTTGTAGTCAGTGGAGAAGGTAGTACAGGAAAGAAATGCAAAATGAGCATCTTCTCTGTGACTCCATGAGAAAACTTGTTAGAAAGAAAACACAGGGTTATGCAAATCCCACAGATGGCACAGGTTTGTGCATATACTACAATGCTATATATTTTTATCCTTATTTTATGTATTCTCGTTCTACTGATAAAGTTTGCTGTCAACAGAATGCGCATCATGCCAGCAGCAACCTCCTACATCTCCTTATTGGTCTCTTGATTGCATCAAGAGGCCATGTCAAGTGACTGACTTGCATCTTCTAGGTTTTGTAAGTACATTTTCTGAGGTCCACACAAAGACACAATCAACTAATGACACATTTCTCAGAACATATCCCAAAGATCAAAGTGACACATTTATGTACTTGTTATTTAGACATGACTATTTGTAGAAAATTAGATGGGTCATGGAAGTGTATGAAATCAGCCTTTCTCAAACTTTTATGTGTAAGGCACTCATATTACAAGTGCAGCTTTCCATTCAGTAGGTCTGGGGAAGGACTGAGATTGTGAACTTCTAACAGCTCCTGAGCGATGCCTCTGCTTTTTGTTCATGGACTTTGCTGTTTGTCACTTTGGTAGCAAAACTCTAGTTAATGTAAGGTTTGCATGTTTGATATTTTTATAAATAAAAACAAAAAAAACTATACAATTTTCATAGAGCTTGGAGGTATTCGGGGGTGGGTTGAGGTGGCAATTTGCATTAATAATTCAATACACTTGTCAAAAACCAAAAAAAATGATTTCATTCTAAAGTATTTTTTTCTATTACATACTGTGGATAAATGCAAAATTCCTCTGCATATTAGAACATTTGAAATGTGTTCTTTAAAAATATAAAGACATTTATAGGCAATACCCATGAAAGAATTTATGAACACCCAAGGACAAAATATTTAATGCTGAATTTTTTACAGCTTTTATTTTCAAAAGCCTTATAGTTTATTCATAAATCTTGGGTTATTGCAGAATAGTGCTATTGTTTTCATTTATAATTTATGCAGGCTGGGCTAACTGATGTTGATTCAGTATTGATATTCTGAGTTTATAATTCTTTATTATCATATCACTACTTGTTAAGCATTACTATTGTGTGTGTTCATCAGTTAACTAAATGTGTTACCTATAAGGAAGAATAAATGTCATTATATAATTGTGTGGATTTTATAAAGCCCAAAATGCAATTTTTATTAACTGATATAAAATTAATTCAATCATTCAGAATGTATATCTTAAAATATTCCAATACAATTTAGATGTATAATTTAGAATTTTCCTTTGTTATTAAACATGCCTGTGGAATGCTTAAAAATAATACTCTACAGTACCAACTTTTTCCTATGGCTCAATGTTGCTTATAATTTCAGCATTTTCCTACCTATTGAAAAAGTAATATTGTATAATTCCATTTCATCTCCTTTAAAATAAATAATTACTTCATGTACATATATACACATAGCATGCAGTTTATGAAAGCTTTTTGCTCTTCGAACCTATTTTTGGAGGAAATAAATAATAGCTGTACAGTTTTTGCTTTTATTTGAAATCTTGATTTTTTTATGTGTATGCAGTAGGCTAAATTGCAAACTATAGAGAATATAATCTTATAAATGTAGACATCACCACCATGAAAGATTGTTAGAATCAGTTTTCAAGAAATGTTTGCTTTGGGCTAGGGGCGTGGCTGAAATGGAAGAGTGCCTGCCTAGCAAGCATGAGGCCCTGAGTTCAAATGCCACTACTGCCAAAAAGAAAGAAAGAAAAAAGAAATGTTTATTTGAATACCAGAAACAGTTGAGTCTTATAAAAACAATTAAAATAAAACAGTAAAAAAAAATTTCATTCTCATTAAATGTGTATATTATAATATCTACTTGATGTATAATCAGCTTTGTTTTTTTATAATCAGCTTCTTGAATATATGATGATAGCCATGTTTCTTATCTAAAAACCTATCTTTAAAAAAGAAACAGAATAGCCTGGGGCATTTCAGTTATTGGCCAAAGGCAACTTGGAATGCATCTTTATGAAGTGTAGGACTTTGTTGCAATCTTGGGAAAATAAGATGAATGGCTATTTGTAATATACAAAATGGTTGGTGAAAAATCTATAACTTTACCTTATTCTCTGTGCCTCACTACATCTCTGTCCATTACAGAGTGAGTCTGTTTAAAGACAAGGTACTTTAGTTAAATACCTTCATTTGAAGGCTGCTGTATGTTGTGGACTCAATAAAACTTATTCCAGCAAGGCTTCATTGTTGCCATTTCCTTCCAGGAAAGCTAGACTGTTGATTAATATTTTAATACACTTTTAAAAAATTACTGAATCAAACTGAAAGCATCTTTCAAGTTGGCTGAAGTACATGATAAAAAAGAAATCCCAGACCCAGATGAGCTGGGACCCAAAATAGTTCTAATTCCCTAGGAAATGATGGAGTCACTAAGGGTAATGTGGTGTCAAGATAAGGAAAGAGGCACACAAAGGAGTGTAGTGGTGTGGGCAAATCTAAAACCAGCATCCTACAAGTTTTCCCCATTTAATATGTGGGACTCAGCTGCAAGGGGGTCCCTCTGGCACTTACAAGTCACTTACATTAACAAGGATTTCCTTCTTTCCTGCCTTGAAGCAGAACAAGAAACCCACTCTATTTGATTCTCATCAGGTTGCATAGATGTGTGTGTCTGCATTTTATTTTCTTTCTTTTTAATGTTTATTTTAATAGCTTACTGTCTATATTGGGGGATTTTTCTCCTTACTATGTCAATAAATGAGAGAAATACTTCCACAATATCATTATTTACTAGGGAGCAATTTACCTTCCCTCAAAATGTTTATGACATTTCTTCCAAAGCTTAAGGAAGCCCCTTTAGAGAAAAAGAGGAAGAAATGTGTTTATAACATTAAACTCACTCACATAGAAACTCTGCAAAGTGCTTTTGTGTTGAGTTTTTCCTTCAAGTTCCACAGTATTTAAAATAGAGCAAGAAATATTGCTATTTAAAAGACACTTAAATGGATGTCTAAGTGACTAACCAAAAATAATAAGCATTTGGATAACTGAAAGGGGACCAAAGGCTAGTCTATTTAATTGTATTACACATGTCAGATTTATCAGAGCTTAGTTGGTATGCGAATGAATGAATGTAATAATGTCTTTGCCAGTGAAGAATTACTTTGAAAATGACTTCACTAAGCCTGACTTACTAACAAGATTCCTGTCAGTGGTTCGCTCTAGTAGGATAAGGAAAGGATCATGGAAAGAAGCCTCAGAAGTCCCTAGTCCAATCAAAGTCTCTGAAGTGCTCACTTTTCCCAGATCAGTACTATCTAACAAACCTTGTATTTTCATTACGCCTATGTAATAAGACACAGGAAAGAAACAATGAAAACAGCAAGCTTGCTACAACCTTGTAATTCAGGAGAAATAATTAGAATTTTATTCCAGGCTTTGTGACATTGGAATTTCTTTTTCCCATATGTTGGTAATTTTGCAGTTCTATTTGTAAGAATAAATTATGATACTAAGTTCTTATTCAAAACTTTACCACTTCTAAGATGTTTTGAATAACTATGATTTTAAAAAAATCATCAAAATTAAGGCATTGTATATATAGTTCTTGAGTTTTAAAAATGTATAGATCCATGTAATCTTCACAATCAAAATACAAAACAGTTTCCTTCCCCCTGCCCCAAGCCAGTCTTGTTCTGCCCTTTCATACTCACACCACGTTCCTCTCTGCATCTTCTGGCCACCATTTCTCTGATCTTCATTACTATAGTTTTGTCTTTTTCAGCTCATATGAAAAGAATGATAATGCCTGTAAAAAATTCAAGACATTGTGCTATTCAGAAACAATGCCTTTGAAATTCGTGCAAGTATGGATTCAAGTTACATGTTCATTCATTTTTATTGCTCAGCAGTAATCCACTGTGGATATTCCTTGACTTGTTTATACTGACCCATTAAAAATACTGGTGTTACTGCTAATGCTGGCAATTATAAATAATACTGTTATAAATACTCGTACAGATTTTTGTGTAAACCTATGTGGAAACTTTTTTCATTTCTGAATGATGATAAACTGTTGGTATTACTGTGTCATCTAATAAGTCTACGACTAACTTTACAAAGAGCTTCCTAATTGTCCATAATAACTGAACCATTTTGCACTCCTACTAGCCATATGTAACGATTTGAATTGATCTATATTCTTGTCAGTGCTAGCTATTGTCAGATTGTGTGTGTGTGTGTGTAGTGGTACTTCATTATGGTTTAAATTTTCTTATCCCTAGATTACTTGACTTTTGATTTCATAATATTTTTAATCTGGTATCTTCTCAATAATTTATCCATTTTTTTGGCTAATTTCTTTTATTGTTATTTGTTTTCTTACTTAAGCTTAGAATTCTTTGAATAGTTTTGAGTTTTGTCAATATTTTGGTTTGCAAGTACATTCAGTTTGTTAAAATGTTTTTCAAAGACATGAAAATGGTAAAGAAATTGTGTTTTTCAAAGACATGAAAATTCTGATGAGAATGGCACAGTCATCTGAATTACTGTCCTCTATATGTAAAATGTCATTTGTCTCTAGTTGCTTTCCAGATTTTTTCTTTATCATTTTTTTTCATTTTTGCTTTTTCCAGTGCTTGAGTTATCCTTGATCTTCAACAAGTTGGTTACCATGTATCTAGGT